GATTTCCTATAAGTAATTTAATCGTTCTGAGATCAAATCCTTATTTTGTTCCGCTTTTTGAGATGTGACGCGCGAGGGAACTTCCTCCCTCCCACAAAATGTATGCAAAGATGAACCTTGAGTTTGAGAACGACAAAATAATAAACTTCTACAGGTTAAATTTAGTTCGAAACAAACAATATTGATCGGAATTTGTTTATGACACCGAAACGGCTTATTTATTGCCAGTCAAGGCAAGGCGTAAAAACCATAATTATATTATTTTTTCATATATTACATATTTTGACAAAAAACATACGAAAATTAGTATAAAGTTTTTTGAATAGCTATGATTAATTATGATTTTTAAATTTCTGAACTAAAAGCGTTCCCTGTTTCTTCAAAAATATTATTCGAATTTTTTCAATTATTTCATTCAAAGTTTCAATTTAAATTTTTTCATTTCAAACACTCAACAAACTTCGAAACGCACCAAAAACTATGTTCCAAAATACATCTTCATTATTTTTAAATATAAAAATTTCGAAATGAGATATTTTATATGTCTCTATATTGAACATTAATTTTGCTTGAATAATTTATGAATTGAAAAAAATATTTCATAAACTTTGAAAGGAAAGGAAAAAAAGAAGCTTTTAGTTCAGAAATTTGAAAATCATTCATATGCTATAAGGATAATAATTTAGATTTTCTACTATATGCGTGAATATTATTATGCAAATATGTATTATTGCACTGCTGCCGTTATGTAAATACAATTACTTATGCTGATATTACTCGTCTAGACCGTTTCTTTTAGTTTGTTTAATTAATTTCACGTTTCTTTCCAGTCAATCTCCTTCAATTTTTTAAATCGCGCTCTAAAATTATTTATACAACACAAGAACAAATATTAGGTAGTTTATTAAATTGTTTTGTTGTTAGTAAATGAAATGAGTCATTGCTATTTCTGGTTTTGTAATTAATGACCTAAATCAATTATTATTGTGCCTAATGCCGGTTTGTTTTTTGGAGAAATAAAGTTGAAATTTATAAATATCATTTTTAGAAGTCACAAAGTAAAAGTTTAGAACAGTATTCGTTTGTAACCCTTCAGTTTATTATTTATGTTTCAAAATGAGGATTGTATTAATAACAATCGTGTATGCCGTGGATGATTGTTTTTTGCTGATGTCATTAAACCGTCTCATTTGCATCAATATTACTACAAATTGAAAGTAATCTCAAAGAAAAAATCAGTTGATCATTATTCTTTGATGGTAGTAGTCGAACTAATTGGGCAGATGCATCTGCTTCGGGCGCAAAAGTCGGAACCTTGACGTCCTCTCGTGTCATGTGCATAGCTGCTTTATAGATGCAACAAATTAATGCAAATAAGGTCATGTAATCACACTTTGAAACAAATGCATCGTAGACATTGCGGTTAACCAGGATTCTTTTAGTCAATATTCTTGCATATTATTTTTATATAGTCTTGTGATATAAAAAAAATTAAACGAAAAACACGATGTTAACTTTTCTACCGATAATGAGACATATCCATTTCGAAATTTTATGCTTTAAGTTTGCTCATATTATTGTAAATAATAAATCATTATTTTTATGGATACAATTTTATTCACCCTGAATATTTAAAATTCATTTGAAAATTATTCGGAAATTTAAAATTCAGCCTTTTTTATTGAAAGTTCAATACGACCAAAGCATATAAATAAAGTATTAAACTTTACAGCGAAATATTATATATTTATTAAGATTTTTAGTACTCACTTATTCGCCTTGTTTCATATGCTCATCTTTAATATTCGCGATTTTTTTTTTTTCATTAGAATTTTTAAGGTCAAACAGTACTATACTATACTATATGTAGGTGTATTGAAATATATTTGTAAATATGTTTTTTCAAAATTATTTCACAAACACAAACTTTAAAATAATATGTATGTATATCTTGTAAATATGAAATGTTTGAATTGTATGGAAGGACCTGATTTATTTAATTTCTGAATTAGATATGTATTTTAACATAAATTTCACTTACATTCAATCCTTAATATATGCAAAACAGCTTTGAAAATATTTAATTAAACATTTTTATTTTCACTAAATTTTCAAATTATTAATAACTATTTCCAATTGGCGTAGAATTGTTTATTCACGTTCACTACTATCCCTGTATCATTTGTTGCTCAGTATTGTCAGTGATCCTGATGGCTCGTCCGCCGAATGTTATATTCAAACTAGGCAACTGTCGTCGCACGGTCGCGGGTTTAAAAGCCCCAACCAACCGTCATGACAACCGACATTGTCGTTACATCAAGAAGACCAATGAAAATATAAACCCCACTCTTGTAATTATCGTTCTACAGACTTGCAAGGCTTGATTTTAGTTTTTCGTCGTGAATACTGATTGCACAAGGTCTTGCTTAGTTTCTTGGAAAAGTTTATTATAAATCTCCGTTCAGAAGACATTTCACTGAAAACTTGATTAATTGCTTCTTCAATGATTATTAACTATAGTAGTTACTGGTTCTAGTGAAATAATTGCTGAAATCGAAATGCATCACAGATATTGCATATAGTGGTTTTGTACCAAATTTTTGTTTGCAAGGATGGGCAAGAACAAACACACTCATATATATATATATATATATATATATATATAATTTATTATTGTATATATATATATATATATATAATTTATTATTGTATATATATATATATATATATTATATATATATATATAGATGGCATAATTTTTATTTATTTAAGATAATAATGACAATTCTTCTGTATCATCTTGTTGGGATAGTTCTGATAACTAGAATTCAAAGATTACGTATGACATGACGGTTATTAATTACGTTATGTTTATAAAATAAAATCAAGAAATTCATGAAAGCAGATATCAGACAAATGTGAATAAATATTTAATTTGCAAAAACGTCGTTTGAGAAACGTTCAACGCTTTTAATCATCAATGTATACTCTTAAGCTTTGCATTATTAATCTGTAAACTAAATTATGCTTCTTGAAATAGGCCAAATAACTTGTTCCATTTCGATGCTAACAAATAATTTGAAATTTCAGCCTAATTTGTTATTATAGTAAAATCGATAAATTGATAATTTTTGGTAATTGTGTACTGATCTGTTCTGTAAATAAGTCTGTTATTAGCACTTGTGAGCAATATTGATAGAAACGTTTTTTTCTATACAGAAATAAATGCAGTGCACGTAAATTGTCGCAACCCATTCTGCTTCACATTTTCTAAATTAGTCCTTGGACTGGCGCGCTGCGCGATAAATCGAAATCTCCTCAAATGCAACACGCAAAATGCATTGGATGTTGCGGCCAATATCGATTACGACTTCTATTTTCTATCGATATATGCAATAAGCTCTTACTATAAATCGTTTATTGTTATTTCATATGATTTTATTAACAAATCGACTGACATTTTATAATAATTTTCCAGATTGTAATACAAGTCTATTGCGAACCATTCAACAATCTTCAAATCATTGCAAAAAGAAAATTCGATTTAAAATATTTGTATGACTAGATATTGTTAGTAAATAACAGTGACTAGTTCGGGATTTATATCATTTGCCTGCACGGCAAATAATTCAAAAGTTCTTATAAATTTAAATTTAAAGTTCGAATAGACTACATAGACACATATATAGATAGGTATTATAAGAAAATAATTCATTCCACTATTTAGACTTCGATAAATTTTGATTGTTTATATTACTTCGTTAAATCCACTTTTTAGTGCATTTTTATTTTAGTGCTTATATTTTTATTTATATCACTGTTTTGCACTTGATCATTATGCGTATGCAAATAATATTCGTCGGCACGTGTCTTCGTCTATCATATTTTTTTGGCAATAAATATAAAGTTTATTCAGATACCCGTTTATATTAGATTTGAATAATGAGTTTATCATTTTTATTTAAACATTTATTGACGTCGAAATATCTTTCCATGGGGATTATGGCATTGGAATTCACTATTCGCGTTGGCGTATGATTTTTTGTTTGATATGCATTGATTTAGTATCTTTATAGAAATACGTATTGTTAATGGAATTCTGAATCTTATATATGTGAATTAATTTGTTAGATCGATTGTTTCACAACTTGTTAGAATATTATTTTGTTGCTATATTATTACATCTTGTTATTTAGATACTCAGGGAAATCGCCATATAGATGTTTTTAGTACTGTTCTTGCAATTTATCGACAGCGTCGAGCAGAATAAATTACCGAATTAAAATTTGTTAATCATTTCTTTAAATTACATTTTTATACCTGTTGGAAGATACAGTAATTCCCATTAACATAATATTATACATAAGATATATGTGTTGGATAAACCCCGGTTCATGTGTCAGATTTGAACGCGTTAGTATGGGATCTGATGAGCAATGTGACAAAAAAGAGTCAGTTACGCGCTTAGCTTTTTCTTGTAGAGTATTATAATCAAAAACACTACAATATTTTATTAGTTCAATAGTATTACGAGATTGCATTTTAAAATAATAGTAATTAGAATACTCTAGATTTAGAAGGAAGGAAATGAAAAAATAAAAAATAATCATTAATCTATTGTAAGATTAATATAATTTATTGAGCCGAGATCTTTCTTATCTCAAAATTGAAATATTAAAATTATACGAGGTGTTATATCTAGTTTAACACAAAAATTACTTTGAATATTTCTAAAAAAAAAAAACTTAAAATTATTATTGCATATAACATCATTCAATTCTGTAAAGTATATATATATATATATATATATATATATATATATATATATATTCAAAGTAACTAGCAGCCGTTCGTCAAAATATATATAATATATATATATATATATATATATTCTGATCACATAATTGCTAAAAAGTATTTAGGTAAAATGTTGAATTTATTATTTTCTAATGATGTGTATATGTATATACATGATATTTGTATGTATGTATCGAATTGAACTAATTGTAAGGCTTAGGCGGTGGGTATCTCTTGGACGCTTTAATATGCAACCTACAGTTGGATTTTCTCTTGAACCTTTTTATATCATTCATATCGATGGCGCCCCAGTCCTCCTTGATGAGGTCCGCGGCCTTTTCCGCAATCATTATCGTCGGCGCGTTCGTGTGCGCCGTTGGAATCTCCGGCATGACACTGGCATCGGCAACTCGTAACCCTTTTATTTCGTGCACATTAAGCCTTTCGTCGACCACAGAATTTCCACTTTGCGAACCCATTCGACATGTACAACATTGGTGGAAAATAGTCTGCGTCAGATGACGCATTGCGCAATGCCAATATTTGTCTGAATCGAAAGGATACTCTTGGCATTGTGGTATGGGGATATCGTGTAGTTTGCTACCATATCTTTGCATAGCTTTGGTTTTTGATATTCTTACACTTCGTCGTATACCTTCCAATATCACTTTATAGTCCTCAGTATGGTTTAAATAATTCGGATACAACAGCATCGGATTTAAAGGATTGGAATCCCTTAAACGAATATAGCCTTCAGATTTTGGCAGTAGTAACATTGGAAGAATCATCCAAGTGTCATTATTTTCTATAGGTTTATATACTGAATTGTATATTCTGTCATCAATTCCAAATGCGTCTTTGTAATTTCTTTCCGAAACATAAGACCCCGCTGTAAAAAGTAATTCTAGATCGGGACGATATAAAGAAGATTTATTTTTCGTGTTTATAAAACCGATAGCTTCAGTCCCCGTCGGTGCGGACAAAGGCCCGCTATGACGGATCATATATTCAAAAATATTATTTACCTCTTCGAATAGTCTGTCGGTTCTCATGGAAATCGATTCGTTTACGAGAAACGTTAAACCTCCTAGAGCAATATGATCTTGAAGGTGGTCACCGACGCTCAAATCAGCTATAACTGGAATATTCAACTTACTTAAATGATCCGAAGGTCCAATACCACTTAGCATTAGTATTTGTGGACTGTTAATGGCTCCTGCGCTTAATATTATTTCCTTCCTTGCTCTGATGGTATACTTCATGGAATTCCGAATATACTCTACTCCTTCGACCCTCTTTGTTTTTCGATCTATGAATACTTTTGAGACATGGGCTTTCATTAATATATCTAGATTAGCTCGCTTCGATACTGGGTGTATAAAAGCAGTGTTTGAGCTGAGTCTAGAACCATTTCGTAAAGTGAATTGCAATTTCGCGTATCCATTAAGTTGTCTTCCATTGTAATCCACAATGTCTTCTCCTAGTTCTTTCGCTGCTTTTATGAAAGCATCAGTCAGAGGCGTGGACCATGCGGCGTGATTCAGTGTTAAATAACCACCCGTCGAATGACACTCTTTGTCAATGTTGCGATCCTTGATTTGCATGTCTTCAGATTTAAGAAAGTAGGGTAGTACTGAGTTCCAGTCCCAGCCGGGGTTGCCCAATGAAGCCCAGCGATCATAATCTTCCGGGTGGCCTCGCGTGTGTATCATATTGTTGAGAACGGACGATCCTCCCATCACTTTTCCTCGAGGCCAATTGCATCGCTTTTCTTTCATTCCAAGACAAGCGTTTAACTAATCACAAAGCAACAATTAGCATCCATTTCTTTATCATACAATTAGATACTGCATTATTATTATCATATCAAACGTTTGAATAACTGTTTTGTTTTGCAAAGTTTTGATAGGCTGTAAGAATTAATACTTGCGGTTCTGTTCTGTATCCCCAATTCGCATCTGTAAATTGAAGCATCGTGGCCAGTATTGGTACGTCCATTATAAGCAATTCTTCATCTCCAGCTTCGATTAGAAGGATATTCCATTTATCTATTTCGCTAAGACGATTTGCTAAAACGCATCCTGCACTACCAGCTCCGACGATAATGAAATCATATTCCTAGTACACAGAAATTCAAAATTAATGTATTTTCTACGTTTTTTCGAATTTTCAAGAAAGCAATATTAGATATCTATAGATATCGTTAAAATTATTTCACATTTATTATAAGATATTATAAGCATTTTGCTTTGAAATTTATACGTGTAGTATAAATGGATCAAAATTATTTAGATTTTAAAAATTTATATATGTTATGTTATCTATTATTTTGATTTTGTTCTTGTGATTTGTTAATTGATAAATATTTTTTTAAAAATCCTTATTATTTATTTACCTTTAATAGTTGTGAAGGTTCGTCCGCCTCCGCGCTGTTGAAACGATCGCTGTCCTTTATGAATTGCAAAAAGGCCTGGTTTGGATCAATCTTCCCTTGCACTATTACAATACACACGAACAGATGAATTGTAACATACCTTACCACGAACGGTTCCATAATTATCTCAGAAAATTACTAATACAATAAAGTTTAATCCCCTTTATAATACGTGGACATAATCGTATTATTTCGTTTTGTGTTCGAAATTATTTGCCATTTTCCATGTTTGTGTATCAATCATATATTAATAATACAAATTCTGCAGTTTTTGAGCAACTAAACATTTGCACACTTTGCATTTAACTAAAACTATTATTTACTCTACTTTTGATATCGAGTGTCATTAATTAATTAATAGAATTTACAGTTGCGAAGTGCCAGATGATACTTATTTTTTATATGTAATTATTTTGATAAGCTGTACAAAATGTATTTTATAATATAATTTAAAATTATCAATTTATAAATTATATTAAATGAAACTATTTTTTTTTATTTTAAAGTTAATAAGAGTTTTGGTTACATGAAAATCAAATTGCATTGCATTGAAATGTTTGTTGTTCAAATTGAGGTAATGACATTTTTACAATTTGCTACGTAGTGGAAAAAGTAAGTCGAATGTAGCATATTTTTATTTCTTGTGTGCGTTATATATATGTGGCAAATGTATTTTCACGTAAAAATAATGTTTAATTTATTTGTGAGACTTCATGCATCTAATTTTGTTTGTACTTCGACAAATCTTTATATCAATTTGTAGACATAAATTTATCATTAGTATTTATTAATTTATGATCACTATTTTTAAAATTTTTATTACTTATTAAATCTAAAATTTGTCTATTAAAATTTATATTGAATGATACTTTACACAACAGTGTACTAAATCATTGTAGATTTACTTGCAATATGCATAACAAAAAAAAAATAAGAATTGATTCCGTGAACATTCATTTGTTAATGTCTATAATACCATCCTTTCAATTTTAATAACTATAACAAATCTTCATTAATATTTTAATTCCTTACAATAAATTCGTTTTTATTGGTACATGACTTATATTTTATCAATGCAACTACAAAATATTATAAAATTTGTACAAATACTAGTCAAATATTTCTCAATATCAACTAATTAACGCCTCGTCTGACATTGTGCTATATATTATCCTAATATGAACACAAACGAATTTTCGAGTATAGATTAAATAACTAGCTGTAAGTGGAATTCTGTCTTGAGGCAATTATGGCATCGTGCCTTAAGGCAAATTGCTGAAACTTCCCGTACCGTAACGAAATGTTCGTGGAATACTGAATGTTTTCAAATAGATTATTCTAAATATTGTAACATTGTATAATATTTATAAGAATTATATAAACTGTATTGCAGAGTTGAAATTATTTGTAAAGTATATTAGAACTATAGTCAGAATTAAAAATGAAATCTGAAATATTTTCGATATAAAAAACTAAAAAAAAAAAAAAAAAACTAAAAAAAAAAAAAAAATGGAACAAAATTTTTTTTTCAAAATCAATTATTTTGTTAAGACAAGCAGAAAGTTCTTTGAATCAATTGAATCGGACGCTTAGTTCTCTCAAAAACTGCAATTTTTTGTACATTTAGCTCTGTATCTCCGAAATGGCTGGGCCTGCCTTTGCGAAAAACTAATAACCCCTTCTCCCAATCATTACTAATTGAATGTTTTTTAGATCATTCAAATCGGATGCTCCGTTCACTCAAAAACTCGATTTCTATTTTCTGCACTCTTTGCTCCGTATCTCCGAAACGGCTGGACCTGCCTTCGCCAAAAACTAATCAGCTCTTTTCCCTATCAATAGGAATCGAATGTTTTTTAAACCATTCAAATCGGTTGATCCGTACGCCCGAAAACGTGGACGAAAATTTGTATCCATACATACATACACACACACACACACACACACACACACACACACACACACACACACATCCATTTTTTCTGAAGTATGCCAAAACGTTCAGAAACCTTCAAAACGTCGAGAAATGTAAAAATTTTCAATTCCGATTTTCGGCCCATTACAATAACTTACCCTACGGGAAGTTAAAAATATCATAACAATAAACTTCTAAAACTATAATTGAAACTTTTAAAACATGCAGTAGAGCAATAATACTTTAGAATTGAAGTAACTTAAATAAAAGGATATATATATATATATATATATATATATATATATCTTCGTTTTTTAATAATTTTTTGAACTGAACATAAGTGCAAAATTTATTACTGTGGCGACAAATGGGCTTTGTTCAAATCTTGTAAATTTCATTTATCATACGTAAGATCATTATAATCTTTTCTTATCTTCATTTTTACATTTACTTTATTTTAGTTTTATGTACATGGTTGCTTATTTAATATGTATGAACAGTATTGAAATTATCATCATATTATCAACGACTTATAGTGCTTATTAAAATGTAATCGTACATTTTCTCCCATCGCACTCTATATAATACTAACTTATGATTAACCTGAAAACGTGAAGTTAAAAACTTTGACTATTTGACATAGTTTGACTACGTGCAATACATTTTCTATTTTAAATAACTGATTACACTCTAGTCGCTGATTGAATGACGTACTTAATTGTTAAAACTTAATATTAATTAATTTAGTTCTTAAATAAGTTCACATTAAGTATCACAAGAATTGATCCAGATCCTCGTCATTTGTGTGTCACGTGGGATTCTCATCGATATCCGTTCGTTAGCCAATCTTGCTTGATCATATCGGCCCCCTTTTCGGCAATCATTATAACCGGCGCGTTGGTGTTGCCACTGACGATCGTGGGCATTATGCTCGCGTCGATCACCCTCAAACCGCGGACTCCGTAGACACGAAGCCGCGGGTCTACGACGGCCGTTGGGTCACTCGAAGGGCCCATTTTGCACGTGCCCACAGGGTGATAAATCGTCATTGATATCGTTCTTGCCTGGCACGCCAAGTAGTCGTCAGAAAGAAATTTGTGTTGCTTACAATTTGGCAAGGGTTTCATGTACAGGCGAGAGTTAAACTGTTTGAAAACGTCCTGCTCGGCTACTTTGAGAGCAATCTTTGCGCCTTCAACGATGGCCGGTATGTCGTGAGGGTGTGTATAGTAATTGGGGTTAATTCTTGGATATTCCAAAGGATTATTGCTTCTTAATCTTATCCACCCACGCGATTTTGGCCTTAATAACAGAGGCATTATCGTCCAACTGTCTTTATTAGCGATAGGACGAAAAACTTTGTCATAAATTTCCTCAGTCAATCCCAAAACCTTGCGAATTCGAGTTCCCGCATCGGAGTTAATAGAAGCTGGAGCCATGTGAAATTGCACATCGGGCCAAAGACCAGATTTGTTTGCATAAGGGGTATTGACAAATGCCAAGCCTTCGACGCCACCTGCGATAATAAATTATTTGAGTACTTACATTGAAATATACTCATATAAATATACGATTATAAGTTTAATAATTTATTATTAATAATCAATGTGCTTTATCATAAAATAGTATTACAATAATATGTAATTATGAATATATTAATAATATTATTTTTATATATCAAAGATAATATTATTAATATCGAATATAAATACCTAAAGTTGTCATAGGACCTCGCTCATTTAGGACGTATTGAAATGTAACCGGCATCGCTTGAAACCTGTCTTGAACTATGGAGATAGGTTTATCAACATTAAAAGTAATTCCTCCAAATCCTAGATGATCTTGTAAGTTATCTCCAACTGACAGGTTTTTAAGCAGAGGGATTCCAAGCTCTCGCAAGTGATCTGCTGGCCCTAAACCACTCAACATCATGAGTTGTGGAGAACTGATCGCACCTGCCGAGAGTATCACTTCCTTCTTAGCATAAACAACCTGCTTAACTCCGTTTCTAATGAATTCAACACCATGCGCTTGCATTGTTATAGGGTTGATAATCATTTTTGTTACGTGTGATCTCAAAGCTACGTGCAGATTTTTTCTTAATCTTGCCGGTCTAATGAAGGCTTTTGCAGTACTGCATCGACTGCCTCGTCTAATAGTACCTTGTGCAATCATGAAGCCAGTTTGATACTCACCGTTGATGTCCCTATTCTCATAGCCAATTTCAGTCCCTGCTTCTACAAATGCAGCGACCAACGGCGTCTTCCATGGCGATTCTTGAACTGTTAGCAACCCTCCTTTATTGTGATACTTTGAGTTTTGTAAATATGGATTACGATTATCTTCTGACTTTTTGAAGTATTCCAATACGTGTTCGTATCCCCAGCCCGGATTGCCCAGGTCTCGCCAATGATCATAATCGTAACGATTCCCTCTGACGTACAGCATATAATTTAATACGCTTGATCCTCCTAGTACTTTACCACGGGGCCAGTTACACCTTCGGCCGACCATTCCTAAGCACGCAGTCGTCTGAGGTTCTGTTTTGTATTGCCAGTCAATTTTTGTCAGTTGAAGATATGCGGCCAGCGAGGGCACATCCGAAATTTCATTTTCATCGCCTCCGGCCTCTAGTAACAGTATATTCCAGTTTTTAATTTCTGATAAACGATTAGCTAAAACGGCACCGGCGGAGCCTCCGCCTATGATAACAAAATCGTACTCGCGATTTAGATGTCTTTGATCTATGGGATGAGATTCTGGGTCAACTTTGTCGTATCTCGCATATTTCATAGCTGCCATGAGCAGTGGAATAAGCCAAAAGCCCGAACCTACGAGCCCTACGGCTTTTATAGCTGAAGTTGCGACTAGAAGTGCCATAATTATTTAATTTCAATTCTAAATATGTGATTTCTACGTCCGGGGGTCTTGCCCAGATTATATGATTAGACCTTATTATTTTTAGTTTTTTTGATTTTGCCAAAAATACAATACTGCAAACCATTATTTAATTATTTCAGTAATCTCAGCGATACTGTTCTACCTGAAATGATAATAATAAAATTAATCTTTAATAATAATAATATTATTTTTTGAAACAACTTTGCTCACTCGTATTGGTAGCGTAGTTTGTAAGTTTTAAATAAAAAATCACTTGTGTGATCAAAACATTTTTTTCAAGCTTCAATGTTAATAAAACTAATAAATTGAATATCGATTTCTTTTCATTCTCGTTATTCTCGACATTGTTTTATGCGTTATTGAATAAAAATAATTTTCTTTTCAATAATCATATTTCTATTAAAGGTTTATACACAAACCGGAAGCTAAAATCGCGAATTTCTCAATTTATATTACCGCAGCATTAGCGAAAAAAGGTTATTTTACGTGGCAATCTGCATTTTTTAATCAGCAAAATACTAGATTTCAACTGTGTTCATTTATAATTTATCTTAATAGAAAATTTTTTTATCATAGGACGAAATTAAAAATATGCAATATATGTGCGTATAAAGTTGTTACGTTGTTTGATTGCGTAGTCCAAAATCGACAAATATTATAATTAATTCTAATAAAATTGATAAAATAAAAAAATATGCTTCCTTATACTTGTAATATTTTCGAACTATTTAAAATATTTGCTCTATTTTTATTGGATTTTTAATGTGTATATTTATTTATATATTTTGGTTAAACCTTATTATATGCAATATACTTCGCCTCAGCCTTATTTTTTTAAACTGCCACTTTGCTTTATTTTAAAAATATTATTAGAAATAGATTGAAATAGTCATAATGTTTATTTATTATACATTCCTTGTCGTCTGTTACATCATACGACGTTCTATGTGTTCCGTTTTGCTTCCGTTGCAGCGAAAGACTTTCCATTTAGCCGCGAAGAAAGTTCTGATCATGTAATCATTCACGCACACCGAGCAATGCGATTTTATTATGTGCAGAAAACAATACTTCACATTAATAATAACAAGTCAAAGACCAAAGCCAAGACCAAGACCAAGATAATTTGAAGTCTAAATCATATGTTATACCACATTAGAATGCTTGGCGGTCTTGGAGTTATACTCGTTGAATTATTTGATTTAGGCGAAGTAGATGGGTATAGATTCTGTTATAAAAACGAATCAGTTTTTTTATAAGTTAAAACTGCTTTATTCTTTCATCAGACAAATAAAATCAATAATAAATAAAAGTAATTTGTTTCACGTTCGGTTTTCTTTTATATGATTCAAATCATATTAATGGCACACCCTAGATAAAATAATATACAGTGGTGATTTTCGACATCTATTAGAACACACGAATTTATTTTGTCTATTGCTTATAATTTTTTTAAATTTGAATTTGCGAACTTGATTGTATAAATTCGATTAGATTGTATATTTCAAAAACATAGTCAAGCACTGTAATGTGTATTTTTAAGCCGTCAAGATTGTTTAGAATATTTAAGCGATTTGATTAATATTACAACCGATCTTGCAGTTAAAAAAATAAATATATATATATGGGTGTGTGTGTATTTTTATCACGTAGTTCATTTAATTACGTCTATTCGACACTTATTTTCAAATATATTCTTTTATATTTACTTTACATCGCAATATTGGTTTTACCAGTTGTGTAACTAAATTTAGATAGATTTTTACTATTGATAAAATGATTACAAGTAACATGCAAACACATGTAATAGTATTCTCTTTGTTAGATCTGTTACATTAGTGTATGTTACATTAGAACTTTCACGTACAATCGTTGTTGTCTAAAGATTTCATATAGATTCTGATAGATTTTTGTAGTTTTGTACGAAATCTAACTTTCGTTGATTAATAATCTGTAATATTGCATAATATAAACGCCAAAAAATTTCTATGGGTATATTATTTCTACGCTTTTCATCATAATTTTATAATCTGGTTTTGACATAATTTAATTCACTTCTGTTAACGCATTGTTTCTGTTATAAGACTGTTACACATCTTTTCTGTGCAAACATAAGAACAAGGCTGAGAGTGTTTTTCTTATGAAACCATGAATGAAGAAGTTTTGAATCACCTGACACATTTGCGCTAGCAATTTACTTATATATGTATGTAATATTTAATTTAACAACACTTGTCACACTTTCGGTGTCGTTTGACGACCTTGGGAAAACTTTCGCCACTTTCGGTACTAGGAAATATACTACAAGAAAATGTATTGATTTTATTAAAGCTACTCATTTCAAAATTTGATTTACTTATTAAAGCTACTTAGATAGTTACTTTTAGTCAAACCGAAACGGGGTGACAGTATTGGTTAAATTTCTCATTACTCCATAATGAGTTATGAGAGATCAAGTACAATTTAAATCTAAAATGATTGAATAATGATACGATGCTTGTTAGTTTCATACTAAAAAAAAGTTTATTCAGAGCGACAGGATTATAACCAAATAAAATTGCATCATGTATTTATGGTATACTTTCTTAAAAATTTAACAGAATATTTCTTTAAAAATAACATACTTTTTTTTAATTTTTATTCATTTAAATTAATTCTATAATCTGTTTGTACATAATACTGCTAGGTTTAATAGAATTGAATTAAATACAATAAATTAATTTGTAGAATGATACTAAATTATTTGAAAGGGATTTAGAAAATTATAAATTTCTCAATTTATTCGGATAATGTCTGGCTGGTTTTCCACAATTCGTAACGGTGTATGTCATAAAGGTCATCTAATGTAATTATACCGGTAACAAATTGATAATTGGCCCATGTTTTTAGTATAGCCGCGGCGTCGCACGTCGAACCGTGAAGAAGACTTACTTATCTGCGAAGCGTACAATGTTGAATAAAAATGAAAGTCTTTAATCGTATTCACCTTATTCATTGCGTCATGTATGTCAATCGGTTAGTTATATCACGAGCTTTAGCTCAAAATTTCTCCGGCATGTATTGTAAATATATGATAATTATGTACATTTTATATACTTGATGTCAATAGCTTTCAGTGATATAATTTCAGTGATACATTCAATAATTTCAAGTTGTTCAGTAATAGATAAATGAGACGTCAATATGGACAATGGTGGCTTCTTATCTTCGCCCATAGTTAAAGTATGCGAAATATTTATTTAATAATTTCGTAATAGCATAGCTTTCAAGACTTCAAACTTTCACTCGTGCTGTCATATAAAATAAACGTATCCTCATGTGAAATATAAATGTCAATAACTTAAAATTGGCGCGTCGTGCAAGGGCAACTACCAGCTAGTATAACGTATTGAGTCACGATTTGGAATAGTATTTGCATCGATTGCATTATGATTTTGCGCACTTTCACAAAACGGATAGGCTGCCGTTACACGGCAAGGACATCGAAATACAGAAGAAAACCGCCAATGCCAAACATGTAGATCAAAATAATTATAAAAGATCAATTGAATGCCTTGAATTACATTAGCTGCTCTTAAATGGTGCATTGGCATTGATTTAATAATAATCTGAAACATATGATCTATTTTTTGTTGCTATACTTAGTTTTAATTTTAATTAATTCGCATGCATAATGGCAAACAATATTAAAAATTAATATACACATATTGCATCATCGCAAGAAAAGAGATAAATCAAAAAAGGATTTTGCTTTTTGTGCGCATTATATTCCGATTAAATTAATATTAAACCCTGGAAATTATCATACAAAAAAAACTACTGATTTTACATAGCTATCAGCATTTCATTCAAAGTTCGTTATTTTTACTGTACAGCACAATTTTACTTTTTTCGGTTGTTTCACTTTTTTTGTCTGTGAGATATAAAATTCCTAACTTAAAATTAATTAATCTTAATACATTATATTAATTTCTGTAATGAATTATTTATAACCTATTTGTATTATAGTATCAGCGAGCATGTAGTTTGCAACATATTAAAGTTTCAGCCTTCTTAAATTACTGAAAAATAATTTTGTCATATAAAAAATCATTCTACCTACATTTTGAAAATAATCCACATTAATACATCCTTGTCCATCTCGAATACTTGTATGCCTGAGCACGAAACAAAAACACACCTTATAGCAATCAAACTTTCGCAACTAATGCACTTCACTTATATATTCAGTTATTATTTTATCGTAATAATTTATTTATTGGATTTTCGTACGTTTAAAAATAGCTTCGAATGTAGTAAAATACTTGACAAGTGATTATCGTTGTAAATAATTAATGTAGTATATTTTGTTTGCAGGTAAATGTGACGGCGACTGTGCCGAAGAGAACGAATGCGTTTGTTACACTAACGGGCGGTCGCTGGTCGCTGCCGGAGCCTTCGCGTTTTGCTCGACGAGGAAACGTTCGATCATTCGAACTCGAGTAGGGATTTAACATCTATGACTGACAAAGATGTCACCTATAGATCACACGTTATGAACATTTTCAATTAGTTTTGAGATTTATCGAGGGTTTCTTCAAGTTATATAAGCTAGAGTTGAATAATCACCTCGCCTATTATTATTTTCACTAGTCCAATCATTTGCGATTTTTTCGCATAATAATAACAGAAGTTTTTATCTAATTTTCATTATCATTTTTGTATAGAATATGTGCTGTTTTACATAGAGATCAATAATAGAAATAAATTCAACTTTATAAGAATAATCCTAATGTGGGAGGCCTTTATGATTCGTAAAGTTAAGTTTGTAAAACGTAAAGCCATCCGAACATACACTTTCTTAACAGTATTTTAAGAAATTGCTTATACATCTTTCATGAATGAATTAGCAAAAATGCTGTATCATCCTCACAACGCACACCTCAATCATAGTAAACCATTTAATTAAAGTAAGTAAGTAATCGAATCCAATTTTCAAGATAATTTCTACATAACTTTCTTTTTAAACTATATATATTTTACTACGTATAATAAAAAAAATGGAAATGTTTGGCTTTAAATCATGCTTTGAATATGAAATGAAGCCTGTCTAAATTATTTAATAAAGAAGCGGTGCCTACGTGCTAGACGTCAAGTTTGCAGTCGCCAACTTTTACGTCATGAAGAGATAGTATGTATATGCTGGTTTCTTTCTTATTATTGTTTGAATTGTATTCATCATACTAAAAAGCTGTGGTATTTTGAATAATTAATACATTGAAAATATTTCGTAATACATATAGTAAATAATCACGTAATGCAAAAATCTGTTTTATCATTTAGGTTCACTGTTGAAAATTATGCAGTTTTTTTTTTAATTTTTTATATTGGCATATGAGGGATAACAATTTAAATTCTGTAATATGATAACAAATTGAAGGGTTTGATCAGCGTTTTCATGGAGTACAAATCCTTTACCAATTTTGTCCTGTTCTCTTCAAATACACTGCATTCTAGATGATGTGTTCAGTTGATCCGATTGGCGCTCCACAATAACAAGATTCCGACTCTATTATTCCCAGCTTTTTTAAATGGGCGGGAAAGTTGCCATTATGCAGGGTTATTATTAGAATTCTTCAATATTATAATTTTTTGGAATGATAATCTTAACTTGGTTTTGAATTTTTTTGTTGATTTTTAACTTCCCGTAGGGTAAGTTATAGTAATCGCAAAAAAATCGAAAATGAAAATTTTTATATATCTTTACGTTTCAGAGGTTTCTGAACATTTTGGCATACCTTAGAAAAAATGGATGTATGTGTGTGTGTGTGTGTGTGTGTGTATGTGTGTGTATGTATGTATGTATGTACGTGTGTGTATGTATGTGCGGATACAAATTTTCGTCGACGATTTCGGGAACACGGGTCAACCGATTTGAATAATTCAAAAAACATTCGATTCGTATTGATAAGGAGACGTGCTGATTAGTTTTTGGCGAAGGCAGGTCTAGCCGTTCCGAAGATACGGGGCAAAAAGTGCCGAAAACGGTAACTCAGTTTTTGAGAGAACGGAGCGTCCGATTTGAATAATTCAAAAAACATTTCACTTGTATTGACAAGATGAAGAATCGATAAAATTTTCATAAAGGTAGGTCTAGCGGTTTCGGAGATATGGAGGAAAAAGTAAAAAAATGAGCCATTTGGCGGTCAAAAATGATCATTAGACATATGCACATCAAATTATCAGATATTTTATAGAGATTTTAACAATAAGTATGAATTTGGTTTACAGTCCTATGGGTTCCGTACCAATGCTTATGCGTTAGACAGCGACGCGGCGCTTACGCGCTTTATATTTTGTCCCTATGCAGTTAAAGCAGTACGATTGATTTGAAAAGAAAGTTCAGATCTTCCACAATATGTCAAAATAAAAAAAAAATTTTTTTAAAAAAAAAAAAACAAAAAAAAAATTAAAAAAAAATTTTTTTAAAAAAAAAATTTTTTTTTCAAAAAATAGTAATTTTTTGTCCAATTTATAGTTTCTCAAAATCTTATTTTTTCAAAGTAATTTTTTTTTTCAAAAATGTTAATCGTTTTTAAAAAAATAATAATTTTTGGTACGGGAAGTTCCAGCAATTTGCCTCAAGGCACGATGCCTTAATTGCCTTAAGACAGAATTCCACTTACAGCTAGTTAATCCTTTGTATTTTATTAAAATCCATATCTCACTAAAGTGATCATTATATGACTTATTAGCATCTTTCAACATACATTAAAACCATGTTTAATGCATGTTGAAAGATGCTAATTGATATTGATTTTTTATATCAATATTGTGAATTTGTTTTGCATCGACGAATAAAGAAAATATTTAATTCGGATAATATAAATGCCCTTAATATTTTAAATGTGCTGCGTTTATTTTATCAACTGTGGCACTAGAACCTTTCTGCATGTTAATGATTACGTGTGAAATAGATGCAAAACGTGGCAAACGGATCGTTGCAAAACTAATTTCAAAGCGTATCATACTATAATGAGCATGAGTAATTTTTAAATGTATAATATTCATCGTTCTTTCACTGTTACGTGTGCGCCGGATAGCATTGTGTCTGTGGTGGCCTTTTTTTGTAATATTTAATCGTGAACTTTCTTCGTGCATGTTCCCTAATATAAATGTAGCTGTCATGCAGCACGCAGACATGCTCAGCGGAACGGTTTATGGGAGTCGCCGGAACTAGTGGTAGAAGAATCGGGGCGAAGTGTTCGAATGACTATCACAACACATTAATTAGATAAAACCAGAATCCGAAACAAATATTGGTATTAGAATAATCCGGCGCATAATGCCCATAATGTTTCACTTTTTTATATACCAAACGATATATTGACTAAAATTTTGTAAGAATTCTTTTTTTCTTATGTTATTCGGTGTATACGAATTAGGCATTCATGAGCATGAACTTTAACTGCAACTTCTCTCATTACTTTAGTCGGTATAAACTCACTGGCAACATATTTTTGAATTCCGCAAATATTCAATATAGTAATGTTTCGATACTTATTTAGTTCTCTATACTATCGTTATAACACTAGCCGTAAATCGCATTCGGAAGGAAAGTGAACTTCTACTTCTAGTGCAGTTTACGATTATTCATTAACGCTATCGTTTCCGGTACAAATCACTTCGGAGCAGTTTTGTAAGCGCATCTTTCTGATTGAATTGGAACATAATTCATGTAATAATATTTTTTTTACCTTTTTAATGCGCTAACATTAATAAAACTATTGAAACTTTATAAAACTCAGTATGAATTGATCTTATCATAATTATATACTTTCAAACATAATAAAAATTAATCTTTTCATTATTATACCACATTTGGGACACTTTAAGAAAAATAAAATTTAATAAGTCCATTTCTAAAATATTTAGTTCAGAGTACATTTGATATTTTAATATACTTATATTATGATACCTTTTACAAGATTTTTGCAAGAGTTTATTGAAATCTTAATCTTCTATTTTTGAATTAGTTTCCATAGAACTTTGAGTGATGATGGAAGTAAAAATTGTCCAAAAAAAGTCATTTTCAAGTAAAATAATCTATCATATTGAGGACTGGAAACTGTGCAGACCACTGTAAGACTTAAAATTTCTGTCTGTCTTACAGTTCTTTGACGAATTTGGAGGTTGCTTGGTGTGGTTAAGATGCAGGGAAACTAATTCATTCATTAGCCACCGGCATATTTTCTATAATTTCAATTAAGTATGATTTAAAGTTATACATTATTCTATCAATTTTTTGCATTTCCTTTATTTAAAGCTATTACATAAATTATTAAAATACGTAATGTTGATGAATGCTTATTTTTTTGCTTTATGTTCATTTAAAATTTGCCCGATATTTTACAAGAATTTTCTCCAAGCTTTTAGTCATTATAATGAAATCTTCCAAATGCTACACAAAGTGCATATATATATATATATATATATATATATATATATATGTATATATATATACATTTATTTTTTGTTACAGATGTACTGTCTGAACATCATTAACTCTATGTGCTCGGTTGCAGAAAAGCTTTCTATTGAATATAATGTTTTGTTTTATATAAGTACTCTCTCTCAAACTATCTGCAAACTTTTAGTTTTCAATATTTAGTGATGTTATTAGATTTGTTACAAATAAGCTAGCAATCCAATTTATTTTTGATTCTTCTAAAGATTATGTATAATTAGTAATCAAAGTCAAAATCATATTTAGTAGCTGCTTATTGTACATTGTTCTACTTTGAAATAAACAAAACCTGAAATCTAAACACATACATAAATAACTTTAATATTTAACCCCTTAACTTACGATTTAGATTCGAAAATGTCGGCCCAAAGTTGTTCAAGATGGCGCGGCGTTGTGACTATTTTCCCTCATAGTGTACGGTTTATCACAAAAATAAAAATAATTATGTGTTTTATAGTTTTGTATGAATAAATATTTTATAATACTTGCGTTCACCATACCGACCCATGCCCGAAATGCGTAATATTTACTTCTGGCCCGAATATCGCACGCGGGCTCTGCTCGTCATTTAAGTTGAGGGGTTAACATTTGGTTGTCAGATAATCAAAATAGTTAATAATTTACTGTTTTACATTTGCCAAAATAAATAGTATTTGAAAACAGATAAAGAAAACAGTTTATAGATAGTAATACAAGAAGGCAATTAATCACATTATTTAAATAAATTATATATATAAATATATATATATATATATATATATATATATATATATATATATATATATATATATATATATGGGTAAACATTTCAAACCTAATATTTAATTTATATGTTCATCTTTTTTTTTATCTTTTTTATTACAATAAAAACAAATTCACGTGGAATTACATGTTGATTCACTGGGAAATATATACATATTTACATTGACTAAATTTAAGTTAAATTCAATTGGAAATATTGAATATTTTGATTTTTATGAAATTTTGATTTTGTATTATTATCAAGCATAGTATTATTGTGTATAAATTTTAAAATATTATAAAAATATATATTAACTATAGAAGAGTAAGATGTCAACTTTGAATTGAATTTTATATGGTCAAAATTCCATAGATTTTCTTAAAAAAAAAGAGATTATTGTTTGTATTCATTATAGATCACTATTTTATTATAATAATAATATTTTTCGATTTGTGTCCGACAAGCACTCAAAGATTTATTTATCATCTTTGTAGCCAATCTTCTTTTATCATATCGGCTCCTTTTTCCGCTATCATTATCGTGGGGGCATTCGGATTGCCACTGACTATTGTGGGCATAATACTGGCATCTATAACTCTTAAGCCTAAAACTCCGTAAACCCTCAGTCTCGGATCGACAACGGCATCAGGATCGTCCGGCGGTCCCATTTTGCATGTGCTTGTAGGATGATATATGGTGAATGTAAATTGTCTTAAGCAGCATTCCCAATATGCATCGCTATCAAATTCATGTTGTTTGCAATCTGGCATAGCTAATGAATTCGGCCTCGATCCATATTTTTGAAAAGCACTCGAGTTTGATACCGCATGCGCTATTCTTATTCCTTCAATGAGAGTGAGAATATCTTCACGATGCGCAAAATAATTTGGTTCTATTGCAGGATAGTGTAGAGGATTACGACTTTTTAATCTGACCCATCCGGTGCTCTTTGGTCGCAACAGCAAAGGCAAAATGGTCCACGTTTCCGAATTAACCAATGGCTTGTACATAGTATTGTATACCCTATCTCTTAAACCCAAAATTTTTCTAATTTGTTCTCCACTGTCTGAATTTACAGAACTGGGCGCGAAATGGAATTGAATGTCAGGCCAGTTTTCGCTTCTGTTATTGTATTTTGAGTGTACGAATGCCAAACCTTCTATTCCTCCTAATGTGGTCATTGGTCCGCGTTCGTTCACTACATATTCCATAGCTACAGGAACGGTTTGAAATCGAGCTTTTTTGAATGTAATCGGCGCATCGACTACAAACGTCAGTCCGCCTAATCCGACATGATCTTGCAAGTTATATCCGACTTTTAAATCTGATAGAACGTCGATCGAATGTTCCTGCAGATGCTCGGCCGGACCCACCCCCGACAGCATGAGCAACTGTGGACTGTTGATGGCGCCTGCGGATAAAATAACCTCACGTCGGGCTTTTACGACTTGACGTTTTTTATTCCGCATAAATTCGACGCCGGTAGCACGTTTGTTTGCGTCGAACAATATTCGCATCGCTTGCGAGTGCATGGCCACATGTAGATTGCTTCGTAACCTGACCGGCCTCAGAAAAGCTTTGGCCGTGCTGCATCGACTTCCCCGTCTGATTGTTCCCTGAGCCATCATAAAGCCCGTTTGCTCTTCGCCGTTGATATCTCGATTTTCGTATCCTAATTCTTCGCCGGCTTTGAGGAAAGCCAAAGCTAGAGGCGAATGCCATGGGGATTCTTGTACTGTGAGATATCCACCGGCGGAGTGGTATTTCGTTTTCACTAGATAAGGATTGCGATTATCTTCTGATTTTAAAAAGTAGTGTAACACGTTATCGTATGACCATCCCGGATTGCCTAGAGATTCCCAAAGATCGTAATCTTTGCGATTTCCTCGCACGTATACCATCGCATTTAAAACGCTGGAACCTGCGTAAAAATTTCTTCATTAAAATATAAATGATTATGATGATGTTAGCGTATGTTTTTTGATACTTCTTAAAATTAACTAAAGTAAAAATGAATTGTTTATGATGTTGATATTGCACGAATTAGTTAAAATTATTGCTTACCTCCTAATACTTTACCGCGTGGCCAATTGCACCTGTCTCCTACCATCGCCTGGCAGTAGGCGCGATCTCCTGGCGGCATCGTCTGGTACTGCCAATCCATATCGGAAAGCTGCAGGTATCCGGCGAGAGCGGGCACGTCCGATATTTCGTTTTCATCTCCGCCGGCTTCCAACAGCAACACCGTCCAGTTTGCTATTTCCGACAACCTGGACGCCAATACGGCACCCGCTGAACCGCCACCCACAATTACGAAGTCGTAGTATGGCAGCACCTATAAACATTGCCATTTGGTAAAACAGTATTTCATACTTAACTTTGTCTCGTGTACGAATTAAATATATTAATGCAAGCGTTAAATTTAGTTTTCTCCATTATTGGAATAAAAACGGTACGGTATTTTTTTGTAAACCGTACACATTCAAGTAACTTTTTACAGTACATTATCTTTATCTAATGGTTATTGCGTAAACACGATTATAACATCAACCACGCTTGTCTGATCTTTCGAAATATTTAATTAGTTTTCCAAACCAGACTCTTTTAAAAATAATAACGGGATTGCATCACTGTTTTCTCTTCATAGGTTATCTTAACGGCAGTTTTACGTCCCACGGTTTTTAAATTCGATTAAATGAATAATTAATAAAACCGAACATTCTTTCGAATCAAATGCGCATGATAAAATGATTCAATTTATATTACGATAATATTTCAACTCATTGCGGTAAGTCGCCTGAAATCAAACTCTGAGAATTCTTCTATAGGAAAAGGATTTTTTTTGACATAATTAATAATCGATGAATCGGGAAAGGGAACTGGATAATATATGAAAAAGATTTAAACGATTTCTTTATATACCTTACAATATCAACATATACGTATTCCAATTGTATTTAGTTGTGTTTTGATACAGCCTTCATTAAGTAATATATTTGTATATAAAAATCTAAATTTTAATTCTGTAAAATAATTCTTTATATATATATATATATATATATATAATATTTTATTATACTTACATTTTGAACATCGATTGGATGAGATTCTGGATCCACACTATTATATCGGAAATAGGTGAGACCCATAGCAAAAAGCGGCACAATACCCAATATTGTTGTTACAGGAGAACTGAACATTGCCAAAAACGGTGGTGCCATGTTTAGCTCTTATTTATTCTACAATATAAACCATTTAAATAATTAATATGAATTATACATTTTAAGTAAAAAAAATCAAATGTGGAAAATGTTTAACTAATTGTATTTACACATATTTTATAATGAATATAAATTCAAAATTTTCCATTAATAATAGTTTCAAGTTAGTGAAAGCCAAATCGATCAACATCATTTTTTGTATTGAAATAACATCGAGATATACACACACACACATATATATATATATATATATATATATATATATATATATGATGATAGTTTTGTCGACGTTGATATATGTTTATATATGATGCATATATTTACATATTTCAAATTGCATCGAGAGAGTTAATGACGTTTGAGATTGGTTTCCCCGTGATTTTGAGCTTAGAAGTCACTCAACTTATAAATGTGTTTCTCTCGTTTTATATGTTTGGAATGATTTGTTTCCTTCTCGTTTTCGAAAATTATCATGAAAGTTAAAGCCGATACAAATGTAGGTCGTTCTTTCATTGTCAACTCCATAAAGCGTCAAATTGATGACTCTTAGAAGGATGAAAACGCATTCGACATAAAGATGGATCGACAAGAAAAATTATGAAAGCGCGATCACTAATTTCTATGAAACTGCGAAGACATTCTCTCGAAGGCATTTTATGACTCTTCATCTATCGACGGCGTGTTAGGTGTGAAAATGCAGTGATATGCATTTCGAACTGACATTTATTAAATTTAAATCGTCATATCTTCTATTTGATCATTAAATAATATTTTAATTTGTTTTTCGAAATGCGAATTATTTTATAATATATTTACGAAAATAAGCTTGAAACATTTCAATACGTTACATCCAAACACTAAAAAATTCTGAATCTGTTTTGAAAATTTAAAAATTGTTTGAAAGATATGGTTAGATAATCACGCTGATTAGTTTTTGGCTAAGCTATTCGATCAAACTTTCGATCAAACAAATTGTTTTGGTGATTCTAATGAAACTTTGTAGCCTGTCTGTCTCAATGAACATACTAAAATATTATAGGCCTAAAATTGGTTTAATTATAAATATCAATGAAATTTAGATTTATATAGAAAATACTCTATGTAGGGAATATAGGCGAGTGTTCGTTTTTGAATAATGTGTAATATGTAAACTGATTGTCGAATATAACTAACATGTTTGTTAAATTTGTGCAAGATTAAATAATCTGCTAATTAATTATTTTTGAGTACAATTGGTGTCACAGAATTTACATTTTCTTGAATTCATTCGAAATACCTTTCATTTTTTCCCAAACTGAATTTTTATTGCTTTATTTTTAAATTGCATACGAAACTGTGCTGAGCACCATTATTATAGAATCACACACTTTTACAATTAACAATAGGCAATAAACAATTAGCAATTAAACACTTTCTAAACAATTGCATTTCAATCAAAACTATTTATTGCTGGTTATGTACTATTCTGTTAGTCCATCTTACAATTATTAGACTTTCGTGATCATCCACAACTAATTGTATATATATACTTACAATTAGCGTTAACTAACAATAAGATAATTAAATATTAGCAAAGTTTTTAGTAAGCACTTTAGTAGAGGTTTCATTTTATTTCACTTGAAAAATTTATAGAACAGGCGTCAAAACGAATTAAATTCTTTTCCAGTATAATACAACAAAAGATCAATTACGACACGGTTTAGCAATGAATACGTCTAGAACAAATTGTTTTGAAATGTTTCAGGGTCGATATATCTGGAATGCAGACATTAAAATACAAATAACTGCACATGAAAGTTGAAATTTGACTGTTTTCTACTTTTTTATAATGAGCATAAATATTATTACACACATAGAGGGCATATTTTCAAGAGTTGTAAATAATGTTATGCATTCGCGAATGATCGCGGATTTTGGATAGAATTTTAATAAGATTTAATAAATGAGACTTACCACTGAATGCGTTATTATAATCCTTAACGGTTTTAACGTTAACAATAATCACAAGCTCGTAGAATACTGACTATCTTTATATATTCCGGAGTTGTCACTATATATCATCACAACAGTTCGTTACTAAAAGTTTTTTTAAAATCAGCGCGACACATTAAATTTTACCGTTGGCATTAAATATTCCGCTTCTTATTGTGTGTTAATATTTTTTGCTTCATCAATCGTTTTTCAACAAATATATTTTCTATAATTATACATCTCCCGTATTGTCTTCGAGATTATGTAATTCTTTCTTATTGTAATTAAGATATAAGAATGTTCTTTCTCTGTTTCTGCTACGATGTCCACGATAAAATGCCGATAAACTGTTATCCACAGATGTTCGTACATCCAACAACATAATATCGGTTTGTTGAATTTTTAATGTGTAATGCACTCCAACTTCATTAGACAAAGCAATAAAACGGTATATTATTGTTAATTTAACTAAGTTTTTGATCAAGTAGTTGTTTCACCAGATGCCTATGCACTATTTCATTTATTCGTGATTTTTTCGTCATATCCATACATCGACCTCTTTTTCGTCGCCTCCTGGAGATGCTGTTAATATTTTCGGTGTGTAATTTCTTAATCCGGACCTGCTTTTCTCACTCAAAACCCTATTATTACGTGTCTTCTCCTCTTCTATGTCCAAATAAGATTTAATATATAGATGCTCGTTGAGGTATTTTGTTTGTTGTTTAGTCGATTTCTCTGAGCTCGATGAAGCGCTAGTCTGTGTCGATCTCTCTGTTGCACAACTGACAATGGATGATGTCGATTTCCGATTTGATAATATGGAAGACGTATTCTTTTGTTTTCGGGAGGACAGACACTGTTGGGTCGGTAATTGGTTTTGCGAATGGCTGGCGAATGATGCAGGTCTCTTGATCACTTGCGAGTATTGGACGGAAGCAGAGTTGTTTTGTGATTGATGTCCAGGAAAGCGTTCGTTGTATTTTGGTGCTGGAACGGACTTCTCCTGTCCCATTTCTAGCTTGCCTCAGTTAATCAGAATAATCTGAAAAGAAATAGATAGGCGTTGATTTAAAAAAAAAATTAATTGTTTTATACTTTGCAGAATTCGCTATTATCATTGTCATTTGTTCGTCTAATTATGTATTTTTAGAACTATATATCGTTCTTGAGATTTATAATTGTTTTGAAAGTTACTTCACATATTGTACAATCGTAAGCAAACATAATGAACCGTATGTGAAATAGGCTGAAGCCATGTCGAAACGTAGTCATTAAATACGGTTTTTTCCTACAAAATCTTTATTATTTCTATACTTCATAAACTTATTCATAAAGATCTATATATTTAATAGTTTATACTGTATTGTTACACGAATAATTAACTCTATATCGTGTTGAATCATTTTATGTATTTTTAATAGCATATGTATTTATTTTACTCATGTGGTTTTAATATATTCAAGTTTTATGTTAGAACGAATTTGAGTTTATTAAAATATAATAATTATTTGTGAAAGCGCTTCTGAAAGTTAAACGCGGAAAGGCAAATAGAAATTATCTCTATATGAATTATTCATTAAATGCTTCAAAAATAATCTTCGCAATACGCAATATATTTTACGTTTTTTTTTGTGAGTGAACATTCATAGTATACATTTGTTGTTCTTTATTTAGCTATTAAAAGTTTAATTTTTGAATTCGTTATCAATTCAAAAAATTACCTACAATATAGTTTCTTAAATCCATTTTCAAATCATGGATTGTTGTAGGATTAGAATTTATTTCAATAAATTTTGATTTTATACCCTGTAGAGTTACATATATTGGTGTGTTTTGACCATAGTGTTTTCAAGTCTGAATAACTATCTCTAATATCTCAAATGTCTCTAATACATCAAAGGACAGATAGCATAAAAGTATTAAAAAATATAGAATAAATTCAATTCAGGATGACAAGTTCTAAAATATAAAAGTAGTATCAATCACATTACTCACATCATTGATGCAGCGTAATACTTATGATGGTAATCCATAATAACTGATACAATTTTAAATTTGCATTTAATTCACAACACTTAATTATCACAAAATATGAACTAACAATGGGGATTGAACTTTTTTTTAATTTATTGATGCGCTGTTGTTGTGATCCAAACCGCTGGTAAATAATCTGAATTGGTGTAACCTATTAATCTTCTGCAGGCGCTGCTGCGTTCGGTCGTCGACTGACGGCGAGTCCGCGTCGTCATTATGTTTCTGTTTCTGGTTTGAACGCTCGCGTGATCGCTCTCTTCCTCACTTCTTCTCTCTACGATTCTGTACCTGCACACTCGCATGTATCATGTATACACTTTCATTTGCGGGCGAGCGGCCGGTCACTTTCGCTGATTCGCGGACTCGATGTCATAAATAAGACATAGAACAAGATCGATCACACAGGTTTAAATAAGTGGCGTTTACAATTTACATAGACCGGACGATAAACTGAAGGAAACGGTCATCTATTAACATATCTTCCAAAATAGCTAATGAGATACACGAAATTAAGTTAATTTCATTTTATTATGCAAGTCCAGCTGAAATAGTGAATTAGTACATTGAAGAGGCTTGTTATGATAACTCTTCTCCTCAACTAATTGATAAAGCCGTCGTAACGAACGCACTGAGAATAATTTAGCGTACTTATTACTTTCACTAGCTGATTGTACTCTGTTTGGCTTCGTGCACTTTCGTTTTCCTTACTTTGCACCTTGGTCTATCTTCGATATTTATTCCTATGGCTATTTGTCAAGTTTAGGGAAACGTGTTGATCCTTGTAGTAAAGGAAATGTTCCTGGAGTAAATCAGAAGTAATAGTATCCTCTAGCTATTTCCTAATCCATAATCTTTTGGAATAATTGTTCTACTCACAAAAATAATTGTTCATCTTTGCACTTTTCTATATAAAAAGCTTACACGTGAATTAGTGATTAGGGCTATGAAATTTGAATCAGAAGTTCCAGGTTCGA